TTCATTATTTTTTTTATTTTTTTATGTCTTTACTACATATATGAAGATACTAGTGTTTGTGTTTATTTTTGTTTTTACTTTATGATTATTTTTTGATTTTTTGATTTTTTAAACTACATATCGGTTCAAATTTTTAATATTTAACAATTATAAAAGTTTTAAATAATAAAAATATTAAGGAGCATAATATTTTCCATGTATACTGTTTTGAATCATATTATTTTTGCATCATAATATTTTGAATCAAATTATATTGAATCATTGCAGTTTGGATCATATCACTTTTGAATCATATGATTTTGGATCAATATTATATATTCAGTTAAATAAAATATTTGTTAAAAAAATGGATCATTATATATTTTGAATCATTTAAATTTAAATCATAAAAGATATTATTAATGATCATAAAATATTTGAATCATAATATTTTTAAATCATAACAAATTAAAGATCATACACATGTTGAATAATAACTTTTTTCATAATCATAAATATTTTGAATGATCTCAATTTGGATCATATTATGTTCAACATTGAAAAAAAGAAAAAGAAAACTTATAAGGGATAATGACTTAAAATGGTAATGTATTTTTTGATTTATACACATTTGGTCACTTAGTTTTTTTTTTCGTCCACATTTACCCCTTTAACTTGTTAAACTGTACACATTCAGTCCTTATGACCGGTTACTTCAGGTTAGCCGGAAAAAATGACTTAATAGGGTAATATATTTTTCATTTTGTACACATTTAGTCCTTAATATTTTTGTACATATTTAGTCTTTAATATTTTTTTTGTTTCAAATAAGTCATTTTTTTGTACTCACTCAGTACTTATAAATGATTTCTTTAGGTTTTTTTCACGACATCTTACGTGGAACAATCATTGATGAGTTGTTTGGGGTTGTTGATGTTTATGTCCAACATGATCTCGACTACTTGGTTGCATAGGTCTTGTGGTTTCATACGATATCAGATTTTAACGATCTTTATATCCACGTGTTCATTTTTTTCATTAAGATTACTCCCGTTAAAATGCAATATATTTTTACTTACGATTTTTTAAAAAAAACATCCATACATGCATTCATAAAAACGTATGGACATGGGCAGACGCAGGAATACATAGTAAGTGTTGCCGAGATGAAATAGGTGTTGCTGATTTCCATAAAGTGAAGTCATTTGAATCATTGAATTTCTCCAAATCAAATTGATGAGTAGATATCTTCAATCACAGGAACACAAACCGTAGCTCTAATACCACTTGTTAGGACCGCTACTAGCCCAACCATGCTTAACATAGAAGAACAATGAGGTTCCATTTTCTAAAACCAACCGGTGATAGAAGGGAATACCCATTTCCTTATATGCTAGCATATATTTTTATCGATATGCGATTGAGTTTGCATCCCAACAATCCTCCCCTCAAACCCAAGTTTCTCCCTTGGCCTCCCCTTCAATGATCGTTCATCAGATCCAACCCTTTTTCATACCGTCGATACTCTTGGTACACGCTCACCTAACATAGGGTCATCAGGAGGACTTTCGATACAAGTCTTCAAGATCAACTTCGTTGGACTGGAAATTACTAGGGATTGGTCTAGTTGCATCGACCACATCATCCGAGCTATGACCATAACTTTGATACCATTTGTTAGGATCGCTACTAGCCTAACCATAATCAACATAGAAAAACAATGAGGTTCCATTTTTTAAAACCAATTGGTTTAAGAAAATGGAACCACATTATTCTTCTATGTTGAGCTTGGTTCGGCTAGTAGCGATCCTAACATAGATTTTATGAATGATGTAGGAAATATAGGAGATGATGTCATAGACAATTTAGAGAACAACATTCATTTAGATGTTTGGAAGGAAACAAAAAAACAAAATTAGGTTAGGATGCAATTTGAAAGAAAGGAGAATGTGAAAAAGGCAATAATATTTTGGTCTATCGGTCAAAATAGAGAGTTTAAAGTGTACGAAAGTAAACATAACAAATGGGTAGAAAAATATAAGACTGAGGTGGGTGAAGGAGAAATCTCTAGTTCTATGCACCATGCACAACCTTGTCAATGGTATATCCGTGCAATTAAGAACAAAAATAATCGTATGTGGCAGATTGCATGTTGGGTAGATGAACATAACTGCTTTGGATCTTGTGTCGGCAATAATAACATAAATTTAAACTCTGCAGTTATTGCCTCATACAATCTCCATTCAATTTGGAAAGATGTTGGTTATGCGGTAAAACATGTAGAAGCAGATATAAAAGATCATTTACATGTTGATGTTTCTTATTGTAAGGCATGACATAGAAGCAGAAAAGCCATATAGACTATTGGGAGAGTAACTTTGTTGAGTTGCCCAAGTATATTGCAGCTTTGCAGGCTTCAAACCCTGATACAATTGTGAATTGGTTTCATAAACAAAATACCTCATCACAAGTGGTAAAATTCAAATATATTTGTTGGGCTTTTGGACCAGCTTTTAAAGCATTTGATCTGTGTCGCCGTGTAATTTCTATCGATAGTGCTCATTTGAGGGTTCTTACAAAGGAAAATTGCTTGTTGTTGTTTCAAAAGATGTTAACAATAATATATTACCTATTACTTATGTCATTGTTGATGAGGAGATACTTCATAGTTTGTGTTGGTTTTTGGGTCATTTTGGAAATTTTTTTGCTCCAAATAGACAATTAGGTGTTCTTTCCGATAGGCACAAAGGAATCATTCATGCAATGGAAAATCTAGAGGATTGGAAAGAGCTATTAGCAAACCATTGTTTTTGTCTGAGGAATGTGAGAAATAATCTCATGAAAAGGTATAAGAATGTGAGCCTTAAAACACTTTATTGGGCTATAGGTAGCACCATAAAAATGGAAGTTCAAGAAGTATATAAGGGAAATAAAAGCAGTCAATATGGAAGCTGGACAGTATTTGAGGGAAATTAAAAGAAGTTAATGGTGTCTTTTATATGAGGAAAATCATCGATGGGGTTCCTTAACAATCAATATTTATGAGAGTATGAACAATGTATTACGAGGAGCAAGATAATTGCTAATTAAAGTGTGTATTGACCTTACATTCAATAGAATTGTGAAACTTTTCATGAAGCAAAGTAGTATTGCAATGAATTGTATTACACCTATACCAAAATGAATGTGGTGTTTCTTTCTTAAACATGACACTCATGCACAAAGTCATGTTTTATCTTAGTTTCACTACAATGAAGGTGTTTGAAGAATTGTCACAAGGTCACAGATAAATGGAACCGGAGGAAATACACAAACTGTTAATTATTTTCAACATGTGGCAAATGGAGAGATTTCCATGTTCACATGCACTTGTAGTTTGTCGAAATAGAGGGGACAACCGTCTTTCCATTGTGAATAACGTGTACACTAGTATAACACAAACAACAATACAATTTTGGGTTTGTACCACTTCCTCATGTTGATTATTGGTTGGATTCAAACTGGACGATTGAAGCAGATTACTCGAAACTTTCTCTTTATCGAGGATGAAGGTGTGCAAACCGAATTCGTAATGAGATGGACATTCATCATCCAGATGAACCTCGTAGATGTACACTGCGACCAACGAGGTCATAATAGAAGAAATTGTTCAGATTCTCAACCAAGATTCAATGAGTAGTAAACCATGTTTTTGTTTTATTGTGTTGTAATTTCATGTTGAGTTGATCTTATATTTTTCATGTGTGATTTTGTACTTTGATTTCTAAATTTTAATAATGTAATATTAGTTAAGTGTTTTCTTATTTCTTATTATTACAATATTAAATATTAGTATTAATGAAAATGTGTAAATGAGAAATATTTGGTATTGAAAACTAATAAGTGTTAGTTATAAATTAAATAATATATTTACGCTAAATATTATTAAAATTAAGTAATTGTATAAAATACACATCAAAAATATAATAGGATGCAGTAGTAACATATTTCATAAAATAAGGGTCAATGTTGTTATAAATTAAATAATACTTTTATGCTAAATATTATTAAAATTAAGTAATTGTACAAAATACACATCAAAAATATAATAAGATTTAGTAGTAACATATTTCATAAAATAAGGGTCAATGTAGAATATTCTAAAAGACTATTTGTAAATTTGAAATATATATAATAAGATGGTAGTAACATATTTTTACAAAAGGTTATAAATATAACATATTTTTATAAGACAAGTGACCAGTGTTGTAAGTTATAAGGGACCGTAAGTGTCAATATAATATTTACGTATTACTTTGGTGGGCCAACAACCCCATTTCTACAAAGACATATATAAAAGTCCCTTTCTACCAAGCTTATGAAAAACAACCTTCTTTTTGCAAAAAACTCGATCGTGATGTCAATGGGAAAATCGTAACAAAAAAAGGGCAAAACAAGAGGTGACAGGCGGCCAGGACTTGCTTTCAATCTATTATTTGTGTAATAAATATGAATTTTCTCGTCATCATTATCATTGAGAATAGCCCTAGAAAGTTTGTCCTATTGTTATATGTTATAAATGCAGTTTCAAAGTAGGTTTGTTCTAAATATCACGCATGAGCATCTTGGAATAAAAACTTATAATCATATTTAATTGTGTGAATATTGTTAAAATAGGAATATTTTGTACTAGAACACAAAAGAAACTTGTAAAAATTTGTTGGAACAGGAGTAATACAAGACGTATCAAGATTCATGTAATATTTCATAGGTTCATAAGAAGAAACACACCTAAAGCTTAAGACGAGAAGCACCATCATTTGGCCTCCCACTCTCAGACTTTATCTCGTAGATACAAACAATGTATAAAGAATTCCAAACAATGTCAATAAATAAATACTTATACACAACCTTCCAAATCGCAACAAAACAAATCTTCATAGATAAACATGGGCTCAAAATCAACAACAACACAGGGTTCTCACGTTCCTTCCCTTCCTATGATCGCTTCACATCACAATACTCATACTTCAAAAACGGAAAAACCTCTTCTTCTTTTTCTTCTTCTCAAGGTACGCCATAACCTCTCGTTGTTGACAAAGTGATTCCTCCAAAGACTGAAAAAGAGCATAATCATGAAACATTTATAAAGAATACATAAATATGAGTTTATAACTCCATAAAACTGACTAGGAGTGCATTCACATCTTTCGCACATACGATAGTTCGCGAAACGTCTCTATACCACACAGTACTTGTGTACACACCTATTTTGATGTGTCATGTTATGTTGTGTTTTACCCTGTCCTAACTTGTTTTGTAATATTGTGTCTTAAAGTACCTTTCGGGTAGCAGCAAGCTCAATTTCCAAGGCTTCAACGCGTGACAAAGCCTTATTAAGGATTTCCTCTTTCTCAGGGGGCATTTGGTTTGGTTGGTTGTTGAGGATGATAACTTTTTCCTCCAATTCTCCCACACGCTTCATCACCGAGAGGAACTCAGCAGCTGAGACGACAGGTGGTTGTAGCTTGTAAGATCCTGGTTGTTTTTTTACCATGTCATCATCATCATCATGGATTCCAATAGAGTAAAGTGTGGCATTTGTAAGCCTTTTGGGCATGTTGTTTGTCATACGGACCATGGTCATAACTCCCATCACCAATGTCATCATGCCACTAAAAAGGTGGTTTCCTATTCCATCAGGTGAAGAGATAGGTTTGCGAGCATCATGGACTGGATAATAAATTGAATCATCCATAGCTTTGTCAACCATAGGTATGTGGTCATTTGACTTTTCTACCCTTGGTTGGTTATTCTTCACCAAGTCCTGCAAAATCAGTTCAACAAAAATTACACGAAGGAAAAATTTGCAAATTCGACTTTAGTAGTCATTTGCTACCGATAGAAGGATCGGAATGGAATTGGATTCCGATTCCCGTTAAATTCCATGGAATTAGGCAAACCAAGTGTCACTTACTTGTTCCTGCAATGGAAGGAGACTTGGTTGCTTAATGTCCTCCTTCTTTTTGGTAGATTCGAGGTCTTTGTTGGAAGCAAAGCTTTTCTGTTAATGGAAAGGAGATTAGTGTCTACTCATTTGAAACCAAATGTGGGGGTGGAATGGAAATGAATTCCGATTCCAACCAAAAAGTAAATGATAATACATGTTGATGAAAGAAAATACCGTGTGTGCAGATTGGCAATCTTCTGAAATTGTCTTCTCTTCTGGGATTTGATTCTTTGAACATTTATGTTGACCATTATGGACCATCTACCACACCAAAATTAACACAACATTTAGCATTTATAAAAATAGATACAAGATTTTTAATTAGAAATGAAATTACATAACTAACCTTCATGATTTCCGGGTCTTGCCATGGGCCCTTGTCTGATCGCATGCAACCACCTTTATCAGCACAGTTGCAGGTTCCACCCAAGAACTCTGGAAGTTGACTACTCACAAATAGGAAAAATAAATATTTACATGTTATCTAAAGTTTATATCCATGAAAGATTATTTTATAAAACTATAAAACTACCTAGCATCAATCATTTCCAGGAGCTGGTTTTGGAATTTGGTTCCCAAAACCTACATGTAAATAGAGCCATTGACTAGTCAACCCAACAATTTTTTTTTTACAAAAAATGAAGTTCTCTTTTAGGTAAAAAAAAGTGGGAAAGAACTTACATGAATCTTAGCAGTAGTCTTCGGATCAAGGAATGATTTGACGGTGCTCCACAACATCCTAAACCCGGTCCCCGCATTGACAATGTACATTCGGCATAAAGTCTGTAAAAGGACTAAAAATTTTAATATTAAATTGTCTAATTTAACCTCTATTGTTTATTTTATGTTATTAGAAACTAAGTACCTCAGGGTAGTTGTTTCCATCAATGTTCTGGAGAAATTGGATAAGTTCCCTAGCATTTTTGTTCATGTTTTTCAGTCCCTGATCCATAAACCAAGTGAAAAAAAGTATACAATATTTAGCAATTGTGCATTTTGAAGAGATAAATCTTAGCATTACAAACAGTGGTTTAAGCATATGTTGTTATTTAAAGATGAGTAAGATGATTATTTTTCATTTAATGGATTTAGTAAGAACAAGACTTCAAGAACGGCTTAATAAAACAAGTTAAAAAAAAGACTTTTCTTATTAACTCCTAACTTTTTATAAATTTGACCTCATATATGTTTCCCTTCCATATATACCATGCCTATCATTTTCCCAAATAATTTTTTAATCATCATTTATCGAGACAACATTTTACTTACCACTCCTTCCATTTTGCAAGTGTGCCTTCATTTTCTAATTTTTTAAACATCATTTATTCAGACAACATTTTATCCAAAGTACAACTTACCACTCCTTGTACGTCAAGTATGGTGGTGCTTTGATCAATGTGCTTTTTGGCAGCGATAGAGCAAGCTGGGAATTTATCAATAAACGTCCTTTCAAACTCCTTTACATGGTACTTAACATAACGCTCGAGTGTTGTGACTTGCATGAGTTTAGTAGCATCAACTTTACCAAGTTGCTCGATATAAACAGGTCTTCCTTCCTTATCAACCCCATGGTGTCCTTGAGGATAGTATTTAAAAACATCCTCTTTTTCTTGGAAATCAAAGTCCTAAGCAAAAAAAAAAGATGCAAATAGTTAGATTGCCGCATATAAGTTGCTTTTGCTACACGGGATACAACTACATCAAAATGGATTGGCAAAGTTTTTAGGGCTATTTTTAATAATGAAGATGAAAAGTGCGTTCACGTCTTTTGCAAGACAAGAGATCACAGTGAGTCTACATCATATGTTTTTGGGTGGGACCAACAATTTACAATTTTGTTTTATTGACATCAGTCCTAAATGCAATACAATACCCTTTGTTCATGTCGTTTGCAAAACAATAGATTTGAGAGTAAGTCTCTACCTGACCTTTTTGGGTGGAACAAAAAATTGTTTTTTTGTCGCATTGACGTCATTTCCGGTCCAATCCCTGTCACAACTTTTTGGGTGGGACAATTATTTTTTTATAACATTGACGTGAGTATCAATGTCAGTCTCGTACAATGCACAACAAACATGATACAAGACTGTCTTTCCACGTTTTTGCAAGATATGAGAACAAGAGTGAGTCTATGTCACACTTTTTTTAGTGAAACAAAAGATTGCAACTTTTGTCCCGTTAGGGTCTCGTTCCAATGTGTAAAAAACAGGGTTATAGAGCCATTTTGACAAATGGTTTTGAGATGCTTCACACAAGTACCTCCATGATTGTGTCTGTACCATAATCCTTCCTCCATTTGATCATATCAGCCCACATTTGTTTCGTCTTCTCGATATCAAACTTCCTTGCCTTCAGAAATCTGTTTCATCAATCATCATGTCAAAATATATTGTTAATCAAACCAGTAGTTGAAAAGTACACCAAGAACAAACACAAAAGGGATTATTATAACCTTAACATCATGTGGTAATCATCATGTTTAGTGGGTAATAATTCTTCCAATATTAAAGCTTGACGAAAAGCATCAACTATTTTCAATTCCTCTGCATCATGTACATGCTCAACAACAGACACGACTTTCCCATTTTTCCTGCTTTTCTTGCCAAAAGAAGTCCTAAATTTGTTGGAAGCATTTATCGCCCTTTGCTTAAAGGAAAGCTTATACTTCTTCTCTTCGGAATATTCAATGTCGGTTTTTCCTAAACCTGCTGAAAAACTTTTTTAAGTAATGTATAACTTCATTTTACATGTTTTTCTGCTATATATATGCCATTGAGAATTCAAAGAATTTGTGAAGGAATAGTGATAAGGTATGAAAAAAAGGTATCACAGTCGCTATATCATAGACTTGGATTCTACAAAGAGGTAGGAATAGAGATAAAAACATACCGGCAATAGGTCCAGACATTCTGGAACTCATGATTGCTGCGTTTTCGAATTTGAGGCCCTTTGTCAAACGCCTAAAGATGATATCAAATTTATATCAGAATTACAGAGACTAGCTATATGATATGCTCGAGGTTTAAATCTAGAAAAACTTAGAAGGAAGTTGCAAATTCATACAAATTAGTATATGCCAGAATATTACAAGCATCATAATGTAGAAATTGAACTTAAGATGATAAACGATGCGCAAATTCTCTTTGATTAAACCTAAAACAATCATATAAATTCATCCAGAGATCGAGGGTTTTGAACTGTAAAAGAAAACTAGTGGTGTTTGTGAGCTAAAATTTTAGAGCATTAAAAGAGGTACATGGAAATGGAACTTACAGGAATTATGACAGGACAGTCGATGAAGGAGCAATGGAGGTCGTATTAATATCTATCACCAAAAAAAGAAACGAATCATTAAAAAAATAATCACAGCCCATTAGATCATGTAGAGAGAGAAAGAATCTTGTGGGGAGGAATATTATTTGATTTTAGGAAGTCTTCTTCAGTCGACATGATCATATCTGTAATTCTAGACATGGCAGCCATTATGAATGCGATGTAGACATCTCTGTCATGACTCATTTACATTTATGTGTATGCGTGTCCATGTATTTTTGTATTTATGTGGATGTATGGATTGTTCGCGGAGAGAGTGCTTCCCCACATAGCCCGCCAGCGGGAGGATGAAACCCCTTTTTTACACGGTAACTAACTTAACTACTCTCTCTCTCTCTCTCTCTCTCTCTCTCTCTCTCTCTCTCTCTCTCTCTCTCTCTCTCTCTCTCT